AATTCAAGTTCTCTCTAATATAAAGCTTCCATTAACAATTCTCTTGTGTTCTTTCTACCATTCTCTTAGCGATCTTGAGTGTAGTAAGGCTAACTTGGCATAACAAGAACGTGAGCAAATTGTCAAGTGCCGCACGTGTACTTAGTTAATTACTAAGGACGTGACAACAGTCTCTACTCAGTTCAACTACTCACTGGCAATTGCAGAGCAGGATACACTTCACCATGTCCTCAAACAATGTCGGCGATCTAAACACTCTCCCAAATCCCCTCTCCTTTGCTTCTTCACAAATCTCCTGAAACTTTCTCACTCTTTCATTTTCCTCCACTGATAGTCTCAGCATTCGCCTTACTTGACCCTAATATAAACAGTAAAAGTAAACCCCAAGCAATAAACCAAACTATACAAGGAAATGCAAAACGTACAAATTTTAGAAATACATAAGGAACAAAGAGTACCAGCAGAGAGCGTTGGTGTAAAGGAGAAAGAGAATCGGTGCCGAAAACACGAAGATGGAGAGAATGAGGAGAATCGGAAGGTTGAGATATTCGGACGAGATGAGATTTTTCGTGATCATCGTCGTTAATGTTTTCGGAGAGGCGCAATGGACGTTCTAGGGTTTTGGAGAGAGAGTCCCAATGGTTTGGGGCCATCATGAATAGGCCGTGACTACATACTGCTTTTTCCAAATCGCATGTAGCGCCGTCGCCGAGTGGTAGCTCCACCACCACGCTGTGGCGGCGATCGATCTCTTGCCGGTACTGCATTTTACTGGTGAGAGCCGTTGGAATGAGAGAGGAGGAAGAGGAAGAAATGACATAAATCGATCTATGTCATAAAGTTCACGCATTATAAATCTTACAAAATTAGACTAAGTTTTTCTTTTTTCTTCTCCCCTCTTCTTTGGCCAACCCTTTGTTCAATACCAACATATTATTATATCACATAACCTAATACATAAATTCTTACAATAATAGTAATGTAGAGTTTAATATCACATATTAGACGTGCTTTAAATAAAGTGATTTATATATTACAAAAATCATATATCGTATGAGTTATGCATATATTAATAATATTACAGATATTTATGTTGCACCCAAAGATATTACTATTATATAAGTAAAATTCTATATTGAAATTATTTTAGACCAAACCAAACAATCCTAGGTCTATTAGATCACCCCCTAAGTTGTAAGTATGACTATGAAAGACATATGTTTTGCTTATTAACTTGGTGTAAATATTGGGTGTGAGTAATTTTTATACACCAACATAATATATACACGAAAGGGGTTTTAAACTCTTAATATACATAACAACAATAACAAAACCAGTGTAATCCTATAAGTAAGGCCTGTGAAGAGTAGTGTGTACGAAGACCTTACCTTTATCTTTAAGATGACAGAAAAATTATTTCCAGAAGATAAATTATAGTTAATCCATACACTCTTATCACTAAATTATAGTTGATTCATACATATTCTCATTTTAATCTATAATTTTACTACAATAAATTAGTATAATTTCGTGATAAATATTGAATACATGTAAGTTTTTAACGTGAGTTAGGCCACATAGTCCAAGTCATACATGACCCTAGCAAATTATTAATTTTACGACCTACTATAAAGTTGAACAAGTCACCCCTTTAAGGCACTGCCATTCGGAATTTTATCTAACCTTAAACCTTCGGGTTGGAGATTATGTAATCTGTATATAAGAACGTCAACGGAGAAGCGTCCATATTTTTGCAATGGCAAAGTTGACAAATATAATTTTCTTTAATTTCACAAATCTGATGAAATAACTTCTGACTTCTTCGAATGTTCAACCTTTGCCTTGGTGCCAATTCTTGTTCTGCTTCTACTTCTTGTTGTTCTTCTTTCTTCCTGGGTACCCCACTTGCGACATTATTTTAAGGCCTCAGGCGGTCACTTTAGATATTTGATTATTCAACTATTCTCATCTTATCTACCAAAAGTTTCAATCCTAGAAAAAGAATATGTCCTCTTTTTCACTTGTCAGCAGATGAACCATCTTCTTTCCCATACGTTGTATAGCAAAAATAAAGAAAAGATTTGTTTTCTTGGTTACATTAAACAACAATATTTCTTACTTGCACTCTTTAAATTCTTCCCCTTTATGATTAGTTTTTAAGGATGATGAAATCATCAAAAGACAAGGGGCTCGGATACTTGGTCAAAGTTCTTGATTCTTACCAAGAAACCTTCTTCTTGTTGGCCTGTTCTTATTGTTGGCTTGAGGAATCATTGTAATATACTGCAAACTCATTATTATATTTGTCCTGACTTAGTTTTCAACATATTTTCTTGGACTCATTCTTTTGTCCATGCAGCGGGAAGGTCAATGATAACTTGCTGGATATTAGGACGGCGTTGTTTACAAGGCTTGCATTGAGGTATAGGACTTTCCAACAAAAGCATTGGGATTTTGGATGTTCAAGCAAGGGGTTTTGCTATGATGGAAATGGGTTCAAGAAGCCAGGTCTTTCTCCTGATATTTGCATCTCAAATTCTGGCTATACTGGGACAAACAAACAGCAACGATGGTAAGGCTTTTATTGATTTTATCAGACTACTTGATATGTACTTTCTTCTTTTTCATGGTTATTATCTACATCATTGCAAACTGGTGAACTGTTTCAGGTTTGGTAGTTATTGAGTCTACAACCCGGAACTTAATAGCTATAGTTGAGTATATTCCAAGTTCCTAAAGAAAACCTATTGTTTTGCTTTCTTCAATGGTCGGGGCTGAATTTTGATTTGACTACTACCGGGATCTCTTTCTGCCTTTACCGCCAATTTAAAACATAGGAATAAAAGAATTGAAATATGCTCTTGGGGTACTTGTAAAATTATTTTGCTTAAAAGGTTTTGTGCTTTTCTTAGCTTGAGTTTTAAGAGTACATATGCAGTATGTGAAATATCTACCTTTTTAATAGTACAGCAGTAGAAGCCATTTATAATTCCTTTGATTGTGCAGTCACTGCACTATTTGCTATCAAATCTAGCTGGAATAACTTGCCACCAAATTGGGAGGGGTCAGATCCTTGCGGTAGCAGCTGGGAAGGAATTGTTTGTAAAGATTCGCGCATAACCTCAATGTATATCCTTGATATTTAAAATTTCTGACTGTTCTGTAGTTCGTTCTACCTTCCATTCCTCATTGTTTTCTTTAATTTTCCATCCACAGAAAGTTATCAGGCATGGGCTTGGAAGGCAATCAGTTTGGAGATCTTTCATCGTTAACTGCATTGCAAATTTTGTACGTTTTTATATCTGTTTTTTCTATCTTGACTCTTCAATTATTGATGATAAGATTCTGAAATCATCTTTAGTTTACCTATAATTCTTTCTCCAACCCTCATCTGAAGCACCACTGTAGTTTCAAGTAAAAATCATTTAGAGTTCCGCAGATAGTGCTAAAAAATAAACAAGTGCAATATTCGTGTCTTTCTTTTTGCTGCTATATAATTCTGGCCTCATCCGTTCCTCATCCCAAACTGATTTTTGTAAGTATTTTTAAGGAGTATACACATCATATGAAAGATAAATCCTTTTTCTCAACTAAAAGGAATAAGTTCTGCCATTTGGATTAGAGGATATCCACTGCTTGAACATACTCCTTAATTAGTTTCTAACCCTCATCTTACCGCAAATTAACCTATTCAAAAGGTTCATCACTTTGCTTTATTCTTATTGTAACGAATTTGGTGTAGGGACCTCTCGAATAATGTTGGATTGAAAGGAACTCTTCCATCATCAATTGGAAATTTGAAGAATTTGACAACCTTGTAAGAGAATTTAAATGGCGACTCAAATATATCCTACACAATTTGTAGTGTCAATCCTGACTTCATAGGCTGGTCATTTTATGCAGAATCTTAGTTGGTTGCAGCTTCTTTGGTCCAATTCCAGAATCAATTGGTTCTCTGCAGCAGCTGGTCTTTATGTAAGGATTTACATTTCCACTTTATCCTTTTATTCACCTGAAGTATATCATTAATTGCTTCCTTTTTATTTACCTGAATTTCAATTGTGCATTTCTTCGAAGTCAGACTTTGGCAACTGAGTTATTATTCATGTAGTTAAGAACAACTTTGGTTAACAAACCTTTTTTTGCTTTTCCTATTAATGTTGGTATGGTTCTGCACCAATCAAATTAGGTTCAGTTCATGGGAAAGGTGAATTGGACCTTATTGATATTGGCTTTGCTTCAAAAATAAAAGTTTGCCTATTAATGGTGGGCTATGGAGCAGATATTAGAACAAATACTGTACTGCAATATTCCACATTGTAAGACGCTCTGCCTAGATAATAGATGAATTTGTCGGAGTGGGATTCAGTAAATTCAAATTGACTTATTTGAACTTAATGGTCCATATTAGAGTAAATCCATCCCTAGTATGTGAAGTGTTCTATATATTAATTTTGTAGTTTCTTAATGAAAAAGCTCAAGCATCTTTATTTTTTCATTCGGAATCATCTGATGGTGGTCTACTTGGAAGCATATTACAAAGGGGAGTCTTCTATTTCTTATTAACTTATGATTCACGTACATTCTTCATCTTTGTTAAGGGTCTATGGTATATCTTCCTTTTAGCAGTCAGTTTCTTGTGGACTTAATTTCTTGTCTTAACTTTTCCGCAGATCTCTAACTTCTAATAGCTTCACTGGGCCAATTCCACCATCAATTGGCAATTTATCTAAGTTGTCATGGCTTGATCTTAGTGACAATAAACTTAGTGGTACCATCCCAGTCTCAAAGGGCTCAACACCTGGTTTGGATTGGCTAGTTAATACCAGACACCTGTATGTAGCCTCTCTACAAGATTTAACTTTTTTGTCTGTATTTTTCTCTTCCTTAATAGTTGTGTAAAGTTTTATTTGTTGTCTGCAGTCACTTGTCAAAAAATCAGCTCTCTGGCCCTATTCAATCTCAACTCTTCAGTCCAAACATGAAGTTGATACATGTGTGAGTATGTAGGCAGGTTAAGTGTATGTTTCATTTTAGCAAACTCATATATCTAGTTAACTTGATTTATTTAAGTTCGTTAAATCATTTGAGTAAATGATACATAAACCTTTATCACTTCCAAGCTGATCAGAAAGTTGTAAGAATGTATATTTTTGCTTCTTTCGTTGTGTGCTTTGGCCACAGGGAGCAATGCATAAGAAACTGCCAGGACACAAGTGATTTTTCTCTAGATCACTGATAATATTGGTTTTTCTATTGATTAGGATTTTAGATCACAACCAACTGATAGGGGAAATTCCAGAGAGTCTGGGAAGTCTGCAGAACTTAGAAATTTTGTGAGTTCCTTGTGCTGCCAGTGATATTTGCTTGTGTACTTTCTGCCCTGAAGTTTGAGTTTATTTTCATCATATTTCTTGTCATGGCTACAGGCGGCTGGACTGGAACTCCCTCAGTGGATCTGTCCCTTCCAACCTCACCAACATTACAAGTCTCAATGAGCTGTATGCACTCAACAGAGGAGACACCTAATCTATTTCTGCTTATCCCTTGATGTTGATTTAGCATGTTATTAGTATTTTATTTCGAAAATGACTCTTTTTCTTTTTTTTTGTTTCAGGTACTTATCCAGTAACAATCTCAATGGATCAATTCCTGACCTTACAGGGATGAACTTGCTAACCTATGTGTAAGTTGATGTTTAGGTTCTATAACTGTGAAATATGTACCAATTCTTGTCGAAAGTTGGTAAACTTCTGTTGTGACAGATTCTAAATTTCTCATCAAAGAAATGCTTTATGCTATTTATGAGTGACTCCTTTTGGCAAGGATGTGATATCCTATGATGGTCCATTTACTTTTTTTTTTTATTCCTATGGTCTGCAGGGGCATGAGCAATAATAGTTTCAATGCATCAGGCGTCCCACAATGGTTAACAAGCCTCTCACTATTGAAAACAATGTATTTTTCTCTCACCTCTCTCCCATGTGCACACACACAAACTTAG